TCCCCAGCCAGCTGGCTGGGGAATTCTGGGAGTTGAAGTCCTCCAGGCTTAAAGTTGCCAAGGTTGGAGATCCCTGGTATAGTTGATGCATATTACATTTTTCAGCTCTAAGGCTGTGATAAAGACGAAGACATGAGAACCTACCTATGTCTTTCACCTATAAATACTTTTTAATCTGCTTATCTTATATGAGTCAATACCAAATCTTTTCATTTGTTGGAAACCAGTCACCTGCACTTGGACAACTTATTTCAAAACACCACATATGCCTGGCTAAAGACATCCAAAGAAGCAATTCCAGAAGCCATTTTCTCTCAGCTCGAGTAACTGATGCTCCGGAAAGCTAGAATCTCGTATTTAGGTGGAACAGACATGCCTCCCTGTAAGAATTTACATTCGTTCTCCTTGAGCCAGCCTGTTTTTCGCTGAACAAGTCCTACAGAATGCAAAGCTTACTCTCTGAATCTTTTGCTGTGGATTTTGGTTATAGTTGACGATGCCATGGGGCTTCCTATCCCTGAACTTGCAGGGGAACCTTGGGAGACAGGAGTCATGCAGTAGGGAGAATTCTGGCTTGCTGGAGAGAGGGAGGTGTCACTCGGCACGCTCAAACCAGTTTCTGGAAGAAACAAGACAAAACCAACCAGTCATTCGCTCGTAAAGTTGCAGCATGGGAAATTTATTTGTATTGTTTCCCTGTGTCGTATATGTGTGTGTATGTGGGTACATGCACAATCCTTTTGAGAGCTGAAAGCAAACAGATTTCATTTTACTCTCTGCTGATTAGTGTACATCTAAAGTGACAATAAAGTTCTATTCTATTCTTCAAATCCTCCCATATTTCTACTTCCATCTCATCATAATCCTCAGAAATACCGTTTACATGTCTTTCTTCATATATAAGTATCAGCAAATCTAAAGGTCTTTTTAAAAAGCTCTCCCAGGAAATTAGTTCAAAAAATAATGTAGCAGATACAGATTTAATGAATAGAACAGTCACTTCCCACCTCTTGTTGGCCAATTTAATGTCTTGTGTAGCAGAATGTTACATCATAGATTGCAATAAACTATTTTAGACCATTGTTTCCATGAGCAACTGGAACCAGGGAGTTCCAGGTTGATTTTTACTGAATTAAAAGTCCACTAAACATGTGTTTGGTTATATAATGGCTATTACACATATTGATACAAACAGATGTGTCAGGTGGATCTTCTAACCTTCTTGAGATGTTAGTTCTTCTGCCTGGTTAGAAGTCAGAGTCACCTCTTGCTCTTCATCACCTCCCAAAAGGCTGTGATCTGTTGTTAACCGTCCTTTCTTTTCTTCTCTCTCTTTCAAAATAACCTGAAATAAAACCAATTAGGATATTGTGAATATTTTTTGCTGGCTCAGGAATTCTGGGAGTTGAAGTCCACAGGCTGTAAGGTTGCCATAGTTGCCCACCCAATATTGTTAAAAGAGAATGCTGCACTTTAAGAAACCCATTTACCTTTTTCAGTGCTGTAGGACGCTTCAACTTTGAGAGTTCTCTCTCTTTTCCCCGCTTTACTTTCGGGCTAGTGGAATCCAAAGGGTTAATGCAACCCACTGAGGGCTGCCCTTTGGAGAAGGACTTTCGACTGGTGGATTCTTTGGTGTGAAAAGGAACTGGACTGCCAACTGAAGATAAACAAAAAAAAAAAGTGTGCAACAGCTGAATTGATGCTGCTGGGGGGGGAAGGCAAACCCAGTGGTTTGCTCCCCTCCCACCTCCTCCATTCTCATTAAAATGCCTTTTCCTTCACTGGAAATAAAAAACAGATTACAACAGCAAGGAAATTGTGCAGTGAAATGCTGCCCATTTCATGGAGATCACCTCTTCTTCTAAGAAAATAATCATGGAGAAAGACTAAGAAACATGCTGTACACCAGGTTTATAAAGATAAGTAATGTTATTTGTTAATCCCTTTTGATAACTTCAAAAACAACCCCACCTCAAAGCATCCCACACTTTGTTGTAGGAGCTTGGTCCACACCACAAGATTATGGTCTACAAATCGTAACATCTGGAGTTGCACAATGTGCAGAATTCTGCCTTGGTGCAAACCATAATTGCATCCTAAGGTTCGAAGAAATGTTTTGCACGGAGAGTAGCCACCATTTATCCATGGCAAAAGATGGGCTACAGAGGAGTGTCACACTGTACTTCTATAACAGGGGTCTTCAAACTTGACAGCTTTAAGACTTGTGGACTTCCAACTCCCAGAATTCCTCCTCCAGTCATATTAG